TGTTAGCATGTAATTAGCCAAGTAGGTTTTACTAGTTTTTTTATCTTCAATTGTGAATAATTCTACTTTTTCACTTTTGATATAAACAATTTGATTACTTCTCTTTTTTGTATTAAGATTAGCTAACTATTGGGGATTTTTGTTTTGTTTTGTTTTTTTCAAAAAAATAGTTCCTCATTATCAATTTAATTAGTTGGGATTTGTTGTTGTTGTTGTTGTTATTTTAGTGTTAATTTCATTTGGTTTTCAAAATTTCTCTTTTGGTAGGGTTTTTTTTAATCCATTTTTGTTGTTGAAATCATTTAGAAATATAAAATTTCCCCTATTGTTGTGCTACATAAATTTTGGTATGTTGTTATTATTTTTTTGATTGATTCTGTGTTTTGTATTTTGACTTACTAATTCTTTGAGATTAAATTGTTTAGTCTCTAATTTTTAATCATTTCTTCAAAATTGAATTTTGAATACAATATTTTATTGAATTTTATTGACTACGTAGTAATTGAATGCAGTAGTAAGTAGTTGCTTAATAAATTTTTGCTTCCTTTTTTTTCTTCTTTCCTTTCTCCCTTCACAACGTTTGCTTTGCTTATGACTATCCTTTCACCTAGTCTTCTCTTCCTCTTAAATCACATTCTCCCCTTTCCTTTCCCCATTCTGTTTCCCTGTTGAGATTAATGTATTTCTGTACCATGCTCTTTAACTGTATGTGTATGAATGTTTTAAAATTTCCTTTGTTGGGTTCAGATGGAAGAGAGGTTTATGAAATTTCTTCCGCCAACCTGCTCCTTCCTCCATGTTTGTATAGTCTTTATCTCATGGCTTCTTATAATATGTAGTTAATAATAGTAAATTTCTTTTTTTCTCCCAAGTATATTTTTCTTTCCCTCTCGTTTCATTCTTCTCCTTAGACCATCAAAACAAAACCGTCCCCAGCCACTCTGCCTGTCTTATTTAACTTTTACTGTGAATCTTGAAAAGTTCTGAGGGGACCGTTGTTTCTTTTCTCTCATTAGAATATAAGCAATTCAGCATCAGGTAATCCCTTCCAGTCAGTCAAATGTATTTGCCATTTTTTGTTTCTCTTTGCCCTTATTTCGCATTTCAGAATTTCAGTTTGACTTATTCATTAGAATTGCTTCGAAGTGGAACCGTCTGGGTTATATGAGCAAAAAGAGGGTGAACTAGACATTTTCTCCAATTCCCACGACCTCTCATACCTCTCCAAAACAAAAATTGTGCAACAAAGATAAAGCAACTTAAGCTATTTAGGTCTTGATCCTGGTCTAGATCCCATATGGGGTTGCAACCCACAGTTTAAGAAGCATGAAAAGGGTCGTGAATAGAAAAAGTTTAAGAAGCCCTGGTCTAGGACACTCAGAATCCAAAAAATTTAAAAAAAAAAACAAACCCAATGACTGATGTTCACTCAGTACCCCTCACCCATCTCCCGTCCTACTGACAAGAAGGCTGCACTGTAGCAGACCCAACTATATGACCTACTTCCCAGTCCTCTCCCCTTCCCTCTTTCCAGTGTCATGCAGTGGGAATGCTCCAGGCTGCAAAAGTTTGTTCAGGCCTCTGACAGCCAGCTTGGTCCTTCAGAAGTAAAAACTTGCTAGGGCTACAGCCCCCAAACACTGGTACTACAAAACTCTGAACTGCTGGGGCCAGAGAACTGAGGATCAGAGGGAGTAAGACAAGTCACCAAGACAGAACACTGTATGTCAGGAGCTGTGCAGCATTCCACCACGCCTGAGGAAAGAGCATAGCTCTATCTGGGGTCAGTTCTAACCACCAAACAGACAGTTGAGGCAGAGACATAGGCTGATGAACTGTGAATTGCACAGTATGAAAGGAAGATGAGTTGCTTTGAGATCTAGGCTCCAAGGAAACCACAGAGGGGAAGGAGTCAGGGAGTGAGTAATTAGGAAAAAAGAGGAGATGGGGCACTGAAAGTATTGAAGATTTTAGGAAGAAGAAATCTCAATGACATGGAACATAAACAGATTACTCAGAAGAAAAACAGTAACAGAAGGAAATATGGCTTCCAGGTCCAGTAAGAGAATTCAGGCATCAATTGAGAGCTTAGACTGGAGAAGAAGAGAAGAAGAATGAAAAAGAAAAGAAGACCATGGGCTGATTTGCCCTGTAGCTTTTGAAGTTGACTTCAGAGCAGTACAAGAGTCAAAGAGTAGAAGCTGAGCAGCAGAAAGAGCAAGTTTGAAGCAAAACAGCTTTGGAAACCAAGGAGCAGAAAAATGACAAGCATAAGCTGCAGGACCCCTTCTACTTTTGGAGACCTATCGAAGAAAGCAACTGGTGTGAAAGTGGCAGTATTCTCAAGGAATTTGGTCTGGAAATATGTCCTTAAAAACATGGAGGATGCAAAACTAATCCTACCTTCAGGAAGGAATGACTCTCCCTTCTAGGCCTCACCTGATACAGCAGAAGTGTGTCATTTAATGAATAAAGACTTTAAGACTTTTTTGAGGAAAAAAAACAGACCTGAACAGAAAATTTAACTTTGAAATGTAAGAATCAGAAGAAACCTAAGAAGGGAATGCTATTGGGTTTAAGAATATCTTTTGGCCACCTGAAAGAGATCCCAGGATGAAAACTCATAGCCCAAGTTTCAGGCTCTCAGGTTAAGGAGAAAATACTACAAGCAATTAAAAAAAAATGTAGCTGTGCAGTATTTAGTGAGGATAATGCAAAACCTAGAAGCTGTTATCTACATTAAAAGACAGTAGGGCTTGGAACATCTTTAAAAGAGCTGGGATTGCAATAAAAAATAACTTACCCAGCAAAGCTGAGCATAAATGTGAATGGGCAGTTAACGAACCGGAAGACTCTTCCGTTTATGACAGAAAAGACCTCGTTGGAAAATTTGACATCTAAGGTCCAGGAGAATCAAGGGTTGGACTGGCATCACTTCTGAAGCCAACAAAAAAAATATACATACCAGAAGATGGCTGAAGGTTTCCCAATGCCTATATTACTTGATGCCAAAATGACTTTTTTTGTGGGCTTTCCCTCCTCAGTTTCTTACTAGAGTGAGAATGTGCCTCAGATATACCAAAGGAGCGGACTAATAAAACTAGACTTCATTCAAAAATTAGCTTTTTAGGGGTTAGTTAGAAGCTTTAATACACCACTATCCGGACAGTCCCATCAGCCAGCAAGGACTCACTCCTTCAGGGTTCCAGAGGAAGGGACACTGTCCTCAAGAGTAGGCATGATTGAGGATTTGTAATCTTTGACCCTCACATTCTTCCCTCTGTTAAAGGGGAGGGAAAGCATTCAGAAAAGGACTGAAATGAGTTCTTGGTGCAGTGAACTTAGAAAACATTAGCAGGCAAACAGTTTCTATTTTTTGCCAGGCTCATGCTCTGAGGAAGGGATTCTACGTTCTTCATTCAGGAAAAGACCCTTCCTTAGCCACATTCTGGGGTGGGGGTGGGGTGTCATCTCTTACCTCCAGCCTAGAATTCACTTTTATTCAAAAATTTAATAAATTTTCCACTTAAAAATTTGTAAAAATTCAGGCATCCACAAATACTGCAAAATGAAGGAAAATGATCCAACTCTCGAAGAGGGAGAGGACCCTGTGGAACTTGAGGAAAACATGGAAACAACACACTGTTCCCCAGTGTTTAAGAGAAATGAGAATTGTGAGAGTAGAACTTATGTCCTGCACAGAAAAATTTGGAATTATGCAAATAAAATTACTAAAATGTCTATACTAGAAACTCATTGCTGAGCTTATACCCTGCAGAAGCCATTCATAAAAAAAAAGTCTCCATATACTGCAAAATATTTATAGCGGCACTTTTAGTGATAGCTAAGAATTGGCAACAAAGTTGATGCCCATCAGTTGGGGAATGTCTAAAAAATAATCCTGATACATAAATGTAATGGAATATTACTGTGCTGAATAAATACAAACATGGAAAGATGTAAATGAACTGATGCACAGTGAAGTAAGCAGAGCCAAGAAAAAACAATATACACAGTAACTGTAACAATGTAAATGGGAAGAAGGACGTACCAAAAGTCAAAAGTAAAAGTAACATCATTATAAAAATCAAGTGGGGCTTGTATAAAAGAGATGTAAGAAGACACTCCCAACCTGCCACTTAAGGTGTATTGATTAATTGTGCTGACGTTTTTTTCCCCTCTAAAAAATTCTGTTTCTTATGTGGGATATAACTCTCTATACTGTGGTAATGTAAGAAACAGAAAATATCAGTAAAATCTTCTATAAGGGAAAGAAATATTTAGAAGTCCTTTATTTCATTAAAGGTTTGTTTTTCCCACTGCAAGATTGTACTCAGTTTTACTGGATAGATTATTTTTCATCTTTTGCCTTAATCTTTTACCTGTTAGAATACAAATTCCACTCTGTCTTCTCCTTTTTAAAGGCAACTGCTAAGTTTCATGTGATCTTGATGGTAACTCCCTAGTACTTAAAGTATGAAATTTGGAATACTTAAAATATTTTTTTTCTTTAACCTGGAAACTCTGGATTTTGGTTATTCCTTCCTGGGCATTTTCATTTGGGGGTCCTTTCAGCAGGTTATTGGTAGAGTCTTTCTGTTTTTCATTTTGCCCCCTTGTAGTAGTCCAGGACAGTTTTTGTTTATATTTTCTTAAAATAAGGCTTTTTTTTAAGGGGACTATGTTTTCAGATACTCCACTGATTCTTAGATAAATTGTCCTTGACCTTTTTATCCAGGATGTTGTTTTCTTTGAGGCTTTGCTTGGACTTGTGAATATAATACGCTTTTCTTGGTTTACTACTTAGGTTACCAAATTATACAAATTGCATGCTTCTGTTAAATTTAGGGGTTTTTTTGTGAGGTAAGGAACTTTTTGTATATTTAAAATTTTTTCATTACAGTTTCCATATTCATATGTTGGTTTTAAAATATATGTGTGTGTATGTATTGTATACATGCATAAATTTACATATACATATATGTTTCTCTCTTTTTTAGCACTTATGGATTAAGAGTAGTAGGTGAGTCATTTTCACCAGCATTCCACCTACAACTAGAAGAGAGCACAGGATCTCGAGAGAATGATATCAAGTTACTTCAGAGAATAGTAGATCAAGTAAGTTTCTATAGTTTTTCTATATGAAAAGAGGGACCGTTTTATGAAACTTTTGAATGGCTCAGCTAATTTTGAAAAACCAGAATTCTCTGTGCTTAATGTCAGGGGGAATTTATGTTTCATTTTTCCAACTTTACCATATTTATGCATGACCTTTTACGTAAGTTAGTGGCCAACTAAAATTGTTAATGATGTGGTTACATCTTGGCTTTTGAGAGAACTTTGATTCTCCTATAGGAGAATTTTCAAGTACTTTTCAAAGTAATACAGAAATTTATTTAGCTGTTATTCGTAAAATCAGATTCTATAAATGTTGTCATATACTATATTTACTATATAAATTACATTTAACATAATATAATTCTGTAAGCTTGCATGATTAGATTGCTGAGTTATCCAAATATAGCATTACCCTGATGATGTTTAGTCACCATTTTGTTTCATGTATCAGCACATTGTAAGTTGTAATTACAGTGTTCATAATTACAATTCTGTAATTAGAGGAGAGAAAAATAAAAGTATTTTTATTCTGCATGCATGCTGCATACAAAAAGAATCATTTTCTTCTATTTCCTTTAGATTCACCATCTGGAAAAAATTTTATCAGTAATTATAATTTAATTAATAAAAGAATATGTTTGCTCGTGAAAAAGATAAGTACGGGACAGCTAGGTGGCGCAGTGGATAGAGTCAGGAGGACCTGAGTTCAAATGCGGCCTCAGACCAAGCACTTGACACTTTAGCTGTGTGACCCTGGGCAAGTCACTTAACCCCAAGTGCCTTTAAAAAAGAAAGAAAGAAAAAGAAAAGTACAATGGATACTTTTTTCTTCTTTTTTTTTAAAGTGAAGCAGTCAGGGTTAAATGACTTGCCTGGGGTCACACAGCTAGTAAGTTTCAAGTGTCTGAGGCCAAATTTGAACTCAGGTCCTCCTGACTCCAAGGCCAGAGCTCTATCCTTTGTGCCACCTTGCTGCCACACAATGGGTACTTCTAAGACAAGTTAAGCTTCCCGGAATCTCAGAGTTGGAAGAGGAAACTTAGAGGTCACCTAGTCAAATCCATTTTGAAATAAGAATGTGGGCTGTCAGTCTGTATTAATCCAGCCATGGCTTAAAAACTTCTACTGAGGAAGAAACTACTCCTCCAGAAGGCAGTCTTTCCTTCCACTTTAGGGCATCTCTACTTGGTAGGAAGCTGCCTTGGGGGTTTTTTGGCCCAAGTTTGCCTCTTCACTACTTTCATTCATTGCCCCTAGTTCTTTTCTCTAGAACCAAGCTTTATTGTGGTCATCTTCTTGTAACATGTGACAACCCTACAAATACTTGACAGCTTTCATGTTCTCCCTAAGACTTCTCTTGGCTAGGTATCCCTACATCCTTTAGCTGCTCATAATATGAACTCTAGGTCCTTTATCATTCTGGTTATTCTCCTCTATACACAGTCCGGTTTATCAATTCCTTTCCTATGCTGGGATACCCAGAACTGGTCACAATATAGTGATATGGAATCTGACAAGTCATAGTAACCTCATTGCTCAAAGACATGCTTTTCGTCATGTAGCCCATGGTGGCATTAGCTTTTTTTGCTGCCTCAGTCATATTAAACTTAGAGTTCACTAGCCATGCCTCCCTTTTTATGTGCTTTGGAGGTTGCTTTTCATTTTAAGCTGAGGTGCTATGAATAGCACCTTTAGTTCTTCTGAATCTCTAAGCTAAAGGTCTAAACTTAATCTCTAACTTTCAGATATTTTTCTCCTGGGTTCTCAATATCTGTCTCTGCACTCCTTTTGCCTTTACTTCTGTCTTTTTTTTTTTAAAGGATTTTATTGTCATTATAACCATGCTAGGTGCTGACATAGCATTCACTTTAACTTATAACTAGAAATATGATAACAATCACATTGAATACATTTATTAGTACTTTTATACAGTGTTTATAAAGCATTTTCTCACAACTTTACGAAGTAGGCAATACATATATATGTGTCTCTGTGTGTGTGTGTATACATATAATATATATATATATAATATATATATATATATACACACCTTTTTTTCCATTTTTACTGATGAAGAAACATAAGTAGTTGTGGGAGAGTGTGCCTCAGGTTTATGAGGAAGGTATTTCATTGCTGTTTCTTAAAGTAACATTTTAATTAAATGCCTTTGCTTTGAGCTTATTGTACCCTTTGACTGATTATTATCAGCGGGGGTCATTTGCAGTAGCTTTAAGGGTATGGACCCACCAAGTACCTCAGAATAGAGATAATGATCATTTGGGATTACTGACAGTTCTTCCTTTATGTAAATTCTCATTCAACTTTGCATAAAGAATTCTGAAGGAAATCCACATTCCTGAAAAATACCTTTGTTAACTTTACTGTATAGTTTTATGCTTCTCTCTCTCTCTCTGATCCTGCACTTTGGCTTAGCACTCTGTGGCCTCTCGTTCCCTCCCCTTAGCCCCCTTCCCCCCAGAAACAAAACGAAACAAAACAAAAAACCTCCAAGGGAAAGCAGAAGAACAGATGCAGAGAGGGACCATCACTGCCACTGCAGCGGTAGATCAGGAGCTTGGCTTGAGACCTCTGGCAGCAAGACCTCTGGCTGTACTCACTTGCCCATCATGTGTCAAGCCCTTGAGTGTCTTTCTTCCATTCTTTCAACTGTCTACACTTGGGTACATTCTGTCCCTGGACCCTGCATATTAGCAGTTCTTTGTCTATGTCCATGCCCAGCCCCTGTGTATCTGTATGTTCTTACTCTTGGTTCTGACCTCCATCTGTCTGGCTCCAGCCCCACATGTTCCTCCGCCTGCTCTTGCTTCTCTGTCCTCAGCCTCCACATGTCTTTGAACCATGTGCCAGCCCCCTCCCTCCATGGGCATATGTCCCCCTTTCTGCCTCCCTCATATCCTCATTGGCAGGCAAATTTGCATTAGGTAAAAATCATTTTACATAGATGTCTATAGAACAGTCCACTTATACGAAGCGAGAACTGCCTACATAATCATCCTGCAAGTTGAGGGTAGAGTTAAAGGAAGGAATGGTAGGAGAGGTGTGCCCCTGGATGCTATATACTATGTTATGATATCCTTTGAAGGGATGAGAAGGAAGTGGGATGCTGGCTCAAATTTCACCCAGATCTAGATTCATCCTGAGGAAACCTGTCCACAAAGGGTAGGGTAAAGGCATGGATCAGGCTTCTTTCACTTTTATTCTGCCCCTCTTTGAAAGAACTGCAGTGAGATCTGTGAAACAAAATTTAAGTATGGCTCATGTTTAGAATCTTCCTAAAATATGACAGGTTCCCATCTAGAAAAAATTACTCAAGTATGCAGTATGACTATCAGGTATAGAATAGCTTTTTTTATTTCCTCTACCACAGAAAATGCTTAAAACTCAAAATACTCTCTGACACTCAATAACAAATACCGAAAATGTAAAATGTCTGAAATAGCCCATTATGCTCATTTTACTCTCACCCGGAAATTAAAGACCCTTTATTGACTCAAGTCATCACCAAGAATTTATTAAGCACCTACTAATGTGGGTAGCTAGGTAGCACAGTGGATAGAGCGCCCGGCCTGGAGTCAGGAAGACCTGAGTTCAGATCTGACCTCAGACACTTACTAGCTGTATGACCCTGGGAAAGTCACTTACCTCCTTTTTGACTCAGTTTCCTCATCTGCAAAATGAACCGAAAAAGGAAGAAATGGGAAACCATTCCAGTGTCTTTGCCAAGAAAACCCCAAATGGGGTCACGAATGGTCAGGCACAACTGAAACGAATGAATGGCAACAAAAGTGCTAAAAGCCGGGGATACTTTGCTCTTTAGGAGTTACGTTCGAATTGGGGAGAACACAAACAGCTATGCACAAGCAAGGAGTATATAAATTGGAGACAATCTCAGAGGGAAGGCCCTAGAATTAAGAGGAATGGAAAAGGCTTCTTGCAGAAGTGGGAAGCCAGGACAGCCAGTGATAATGCATTGAGTCAGGAGGTGGAGTGTCTTGTGTACCTGGGTGAGGAACAGCAAGGTAGCCAGTATCATTAGATGGTGGAGTACGTTAAGTAGAATAACGTAAAAGAATGTGTGAAAGGCTAGAGGGGACCAGATTATAAAGTACTTTAAAAGCCAGTCTTATCTGTTCCTGGAGATTATAGGGGGACAGCTATTTGTGGGGACAGCTGAGGAAATATTTCATATTCATCTCAGATTTGCACTCTAAGCAAGTCATAAGGTCCAGTTGCCCTGGCTATTGAGGCCATGGCCTTTTGCAGTTCTTCAGCTACAGGATAATGTTCATGGTGGCCGCTACTTAGGGTTATGGTTAAAGTTGGGGCATCATCTAAAATTGATTGGATGTTACTCTTGAGCCGTATTTTTCTCCTTGCTTTTCCAACACTAGATTTTGACCATTTTGTTTCCCCACAGTCTATTCAGTGGTATTTAGTTTTTGTTTGTGTTTTTTTCCAGCATCTGTAATTTGGGAAAATAAATTAAGACTGCTATCAAATTGTTAAGTTTCACTGCATCTTACTGTTTTAAATAACATAGTGTGTGAAGTTAAAGTTGTAAATCTGTTCTTTCTTTCTTTCTTTAGTGCATGAACAGAAATATTGCCTTAACTCAGGCACACTACTTGGAAAAGGAAGAGAAAAGCCTTCCTCCTCCTAGGTTGGTAGAAATTTAAATTTCCTCTACTTTTCCCTCAACTTATTTTATAGCTTGCATATGGATAAAGATCATATAATATGTTTTGAAATGTTTCCAAAAGATTGCTTCAAGAAAGAAGAATTTTTTTTGCTAATGTTGAAGTACCGTATTTTTTTTTCAATCTCAAGTTGGTATTTTAATTTGTAAGACCAAAGCACAAGGTCTTCGGATTCACAAACTTTATAAGAATGTTCACCTGATAGAAGTTAACTCTGTGTTGAGGAGTACTGAATACCCTGGAAGTAAACTGAATAGACATGTGTGTGGTAAAATGACAGTAAAAAAAAAAATACAGAGGAGCAAGGATTAAGCAAATTATGTTATTGACATTTTTTGAATTGAACAGATTTATAATTTAAGCATAAGGTAAATGGGATACCACTTTAATGATACTCTGAAGAAAATTTTTTCCAGTCTGCTTTTCATCACAAGTTGAGAATTTCTGTCTCAGAGTATGTTATGTCACATTGAATAGACTCATAAAGATACCTGACTAAACAGAGAATTTCCATGTAAAATTAGGAAATTAGGCTCTGGAAGTACAGCAAGTGATTCAACTCTCAACCTACCTGAGAGGAGCTAATTGTGTTAGTGAGAAGCTTTAGCAAGAGACATAGATAGTGAGTCAGCCATTGCTTTGATTGTGTTGTGGTGGCACTTTCTTTTGAAAAACAATAAAAAAATATCCCCTAAAATCCCTTTTCTACAGTATTAGAATTGTGGTGACAGTAGAACAAACTGATAAAGAACTAGATAAAGCTGCATCTACAATCAAAGAAGCTGCACAGTCCATCCTGAATTAGACATCATCAGTGGACTTAATGTGTTCCAAGAAGATGCATCATCTATGTATCAGTCTATGGTGTATGGACATCTCAAAAGAATTCAAAGTCTTTGTGGAATATCCTTTGGAAAAGAGCTTGCAATTGTTTACATGAATCATTCCATAGAGGTACAGACAAAAAGTATGAATGTAAGAGGAATGGTTTCACACACACACACACACACACACACACACACACACACACACCCCACTCCCTCCAATAAGTACCAAGAGCAATTCTGTCAGAGAAAAACTAAATGTATCTGAGCAGAATCTGAACTGTATTGTTTAGCACTATTTAAGTGAGATTTTCATTATACCAGTATTTTTAATATTCATTTTCCACTTTTTCAACTTTCCCAATTAAGTATTTTTCCTCCTAAAATTGAAAGTTCTTTAAGTACTCTTTAATTCCTAAGATTCCTTATAAAAATGATTTAATGAAACTTTGAGGAAGAGTTATACATAAATGAAATTTGTCAATGATTATTGAGTATATATAGTTCAACCCCACTTTTACACAGTTCTCCTTAATCCTGTCATGCTAAATGATAGATAATGTCTTAAGGAAACTATATATATTTTTTGCTGTTACTATGAATTTTTTATTTTAATAGACTGTGCTCTGAAAATTTTTGTTACACACTAAGTATATTAACGTTTAAGCATCTCTAATAGAGAAAGTGTTCTTACACGGTCCATGTTGTTTATGCTTGCTTTATAAGGTGGGAAGTTTTAAATCAATTTATTTAATGTATTTGATCTTTACATATATTATGTGTTGACTTCTGATCTATTTGGGGTAGGAGGCTATTGTGATTATTCAAAAATTTAAATTACAACTTTTATATGTTTTAGGATATTTTAAATGTATATTTTTTTGTATCATGGGTTAGTATAGGGAGCTATCAGTTGTAGGTTTTCTTTGTGTTAAGGGAACACAAAATGGTCTTCCTTACTGCTTTTATGATATCAAAAATCCACGCAGATAATACAAAAGTTCTAAGATAAAATTTTAAGCTATATTTTAATTGTTTTCCTTTAACAATCAAAACTATTCTGTCATTATTTTCAGTAAATGCAAATAATGGATTAACTTTATATTGATTGTTCCTTCATCAGTGGTAATAAATAAAATTATAAAAATTGTTCATTTTTGATGACTAGCTATATTAATAATATGTGGATTCTAGTACAGTTTATGTCACAATATGTTGAAAAATGCTTTTGTGTTTTGCCTAAAGGGTTTTAATGGTGGTTGCTGCTTCAATGATTACAGTACTCTAATGGGGATGAGCCTTTGTGTTTTGGTAGTTTTTTTGGGAGGCAATCAGGGTTAAGTGACCTGCCTGGGATAACACAGCTAGTTAAGTATCTGAGGCCAAATTTGAACTCAGGTCCCCCCTTCAGGACTGGCTCTGTATCCACTATGCCACCTAGCTGCCCTTGGGGATGGGCCTTTGTTGAAAATAAAATTTAAAATTTTCCTAACATATTTGTCCTAAACTTGGAGAAGAATTCTTTTTGTCGTTCTGTTGTTATGTTGTTCTTGTTGCTGGGTAGGTCAACTTTCCCAGTTTCCTTTTTTAACCTCTTCTCATCACATTCACACACCCCACCCCACCCCCCAAAAAAGGTGTAGGATCTAAAGTTGTTGTTCTGAGATCCTATCTGCTTTAAACCTGGCTTTAAGTAAACTAACTTGGTGAACTATTACACTGGTTATACATTTCGTAATTATAAAATCAGGATAATGGGTTCTACTTGTGTAACTTTTTAATGGTTTGTAAAGCCCTTTGAGATCCAGGGATGTATCTGAAATGCAAATGTCATTTAAAGGTAGGAGAATTAATTCATTTTTTTGGATGTATGATTTGCCTGTTTGGGACAAGAAGGAAGGCTAAATGTTAGGATTTGTCGATTCTCTTAGCCTATTCAAGCAGTATTATATGTAAATTAGATGTGTTCTGAAAATCATAACTTAGGAAGTCAATAGGATAGATTTTAAATCATTCACCAAACTTCTAATCATTCCCAGATGTGTTTCAGTGACTACAGATGTACCAAAATCTTTTAGAAGCTTAGGAAACACTGATGATAATCCCAGTCATTTAGAAGACCTTACCATCATCAAAGTCAGTATAATAGCCTATTAGTTTGTCCCCAGCCTAAATGAAGGCTTAGATAGGATCATAACCTGTTGCTTAGACCATATATCTTGCATAATCATGTTTTTTGTTTTGATGATTTTCTCTTACAGTCCTTACTGTTCTCAGGAATTTTCTCCTTTTATCATCTCTTTTTAAAAACTGCTTAGGGACAGCTAGGTGGCCCAGTGGATAGAGCACTGGCCCTGAGGTCAGGAGGACCTGAGTTCAAATCTGGCCTCAGACCACACACTTGACACTTACTAGCTGTGTGACCCTGGGCAAGTCTCTTAACCCCAATTGCCTTAAGAAAAAAAAAACTTTAAAAAAAAACCAGTTCTATAGGGGCAGCTAGGTGGCAAAGTGGATAGAGCACCAACCCTGGATTCAGGAAAACCTGAGTTCAGATGTGGCCCCAGACACATAACACTAGCTGTGTGACCCTGGGCAAGTTGCTTAACCCCATTGCCTAGCCAAAAATAAAAAAAAAAACTGCTTAGATCCCCTTAGGAGAGACTCCCTTATTAAATAATTGACTCTCTGGTACTCCAGAGGTTTAATTGATAATTGTCCTTTCTGGAAATGTTGAATATGTACAGGCCACTGTGATAAGTGTTAGAGAAAACGCAAAGGTAAATAGAATTCTGTCCTTGTACTCAGAGCCTTGAACTCCTCTGGACTTTTCTGTCATGGCCCAAAAAGCTCTTCATCCCCCAAAATCACAGCAGCCTTGGAACTCACAAACTCACCCCTTGAAAGTACTCCCCGGCCCACCCCTCCTGAAGAAGGGTGGAGCCCACTTCTGGCCAGAAACATCTAAATCCTCTGGACTTTCTTTATAATAAATTTTCTTGATACTAAATTTTTGGTGTCAAGCCTATTTCTAACAATTTGGCGCCCAGCGTGAGGCTCGATCTAGATTTCGGAGGGGATAAGGTAAGACATCCCGGGAAGAACACTCCCACTGTATTTCAGCGGTCTTGGTGAATTGAGCCTTTCCCAACCAAACTCCTGATCTTGGACCCCGTGGAAGAAGTCCAGGGGATTGTGGAAGCGCCAGCAGACCACAAGAGCCAATATATTGGGCAAAGGAGTTTTCTGAGGTGGAACTCTTACTGATTAAGTGGCCCATTTCAGACACCTCTGGACTAAAGAAATTAGGTATGGTTAACAACAAACATTGAGCTACTGACCCATGACATCAGCAACCTGCAAAGAGGTTTGTGAGCTGCACCTATGAGCTGCAAGAAGGTGCTCTCATGGGAAGGTCGGGAGAACGACTTTTCTGCGTGGCTGAGATCAATCTTGTAGGAGAGTGGATACAAGAAGAAGGATCTCTGCAGGAGGAGAGTCTGCTGGACACTGTTTGAACAGCACTTAGACAAGAAGACTTCACCGGATGATGTCGAGAGTGTCAGACAGCGGTATGAGAAGAGACTTCTGAAGCTTTAAATGGACAATTTATCATTACTTTTGGGTCTCTGTATCTGTACTTAATAGGGGACTGCCCCCTTTTTAATTTGTCAATGCGTTGGTCAACTCTTCCCTTCCTGCTCTCATATTGTTTTAAGTCCCCAAAATCCCTTGATGAAATGTTGCTCAGCAGCACAGTCCCAGGTAGAACCATCACTAAGGCATTGCAAGGTCTAACCACTTTAGCTGAGGAGTTGGCAGAGAATTCTGGGATAGATAACTGATTAAAGTGATGGTTAGAATCCTGGTCTGACAAATGGAAGGGAATAGCATTATCCATCATCACCTCTCTAACCTTAGCTGCGGGAGTTTTAACTGCAGTAAGGTGTTGCATCAACCCTTGTATCAGAGGACTAGTGCAAAAATTAATAGAAACAGCACTAACTAAAAGTATCCCAATAGGACCAGCTATGGGAATTCAGGTAACAGGATCAAGTGGAGTTAGGATGATGATTGAGAGAATTAATGATCATTCCTCTCCTTCTGATGAAGAATTTTAACTAATGTTAAAACACTTTGAGGAAAGATAACAGGAACAAAAAGTGGGGAAACATAGTTCTTATTGAGAAGAAGAGGAGGGAATTGTTAGAGTTAGAAGGGCTTAGGTTTCCACAGGTAGAATAATGCAGAGATTTAAAGAACAAAGGTCCCAGGAGGTGGTACACTGTAGGTGGGCTGGGCTTGACCAATAGGAAGTAAGTGGATTCTTCCAAGAAGACCCCAAAATCAAGATAGGGCTCGAGCCAGCTCAGACCAGTTAGGGTCAACCTGAGGACACCTGAAAAATGTTAGTGCACCTGCTTAATGAACTTAAATACTATTATCTGACACACCCCACATAAAATTAGAGCCTCATTAACGAGTCATGGTACATATGACCAAGGGAGGGGGAATATACTTGAGCATATCAAGGGAAAATATGTAAGGAATGGTGTAACCTGGGAAGGGTTGGACCAATCCTGGCCTGGGAGGTTTTGCGCCCAAATTCAACTTCATGAAAGCACACTTTCCCTTGCACTCAGGGCCCACCCCTCCTGAAGAGGGGTGGAGCCCGCTTCTGGCCAGAAATGGGACTTTCTTTATAATAAATATTCTTGATACTAAAAAAAAAAAAAAAAAAAAAAGTACTCCCCGCTACTGGGGATCTTCCCTGTGATTGGGAAGTCTTCTCCCAGAGCCACCATTTAAGGAGGGCAGCCAAGCTAGCCATAAGTTCATTTCTCGCTAGGCTGCTGTACTCATCTGGATTTCTCCATCATGACTAGCATACATTCTTCCCCTCCTGATTTTCAGCTTCCTTTTATGTGTTGCCTGACTCACTAAAATGTAAGCTCTTTGAAGACAGGGACTGTCTTTCTTTTTGCTTATGTTTGTATTCCCGGTGCCTAGCCTATAGTAAGTGCTTAATAAATGTTTGTTGACTGACTCTATTAAGAGAGTAAGACATGTAAAACAGATAAAATTCAAATTCTTAGAAAGGACAAGGAAACCTAAAGATTAGTGTTTCTGGACAGTTAAGCAGGCTGGACTGGAAAAATGCCATGACAACATACATATAGGGTTTTTTTTAAGACTTTTGAAAAAAAAATAGTTGAAGCCTTTAAGCTTGAATACTTGCTAAATGCTTCACCTTGCTGTTGCTCCAGATATGGAAGAGGCCTCACTTATTTACGGCTCTTTTCCAGTTTCTTATTCATCACCATGTTTGACTCATGCCTCTTCCAGTCCTGTAGAAGGGGTAGAACAGCTGACTCCATGTTTGACACTGTTTTTCCTCTCCTTGAAAAGTTTTAGTGGATCCCTATTACATATAAGATAAAATGCAAGCTCTGCCATTTTGACTTTTAAAGCCCTTCAAAATCTGGGATCAACCTTTCCAGATTGATTTAATAGTACTCTTTACACACTACATTTCAACAAAAGTAGCCTACTTAACAGTTCTTTCAGTCTCTTTATTCACATAGGCCCTTGAACCTGGAACATTCTACCTATTCACTTTTGCCTCCTGGAATCCTTGGCTGTCTTAAAGCTTCAGTTCAGTTGTCACTTCTTGTCCTTCATTTTTTTTTTAGGCAAATTGGGGTTAAGTGACTTGCCCCGGGTCACAAACTAGTAAGTGTCAAGTGTTTGGTCTGAGGCTGAATTTGAACTCAGGTCCTCCTGGCTTCAGAGCTGATGCTCTATCCACTGCTACCTAGCTACCCCCAGTTGTCACTTCTTAAGGCCACTTGTTGGTGCTCTGCCTCCTTCAAAAACAATGAAGGAAGGGGGTTACTTTCCATTGTGACTGGAAGGGAGTAGGCAAAACATATGTTATAGGTGGTTCCTGACTCAGGCTAATCTCCCAGTGGTTTATGTCTGATAATGGAATGAAATTAAACATTGGTTATCCAATAGTTAACAAAGGGAGCTCTACTTAGCCAGGGTAAAAAATCTATTCAATAAGGATATACTAAAGCTAAAAGCTTTAACAGATATAGTGCTCCTAAGCTTCCATATAGAAACTAGTCATCAAGGTAGGATGTGGTGACAAGCAGTGT